AGAGGATCATCCAGCGACAGTGGTCAGCAAACCTCGACTGGAATCAGGCGATTCCGACGGACGTCCATTCCGACATCACGAAGTGGATCTCCGAGGTGAAGGCGTTTTTTTTTGGATATATCGGGAATTTATTTATCCGTCGATGTTTTACATGACTTTGCGTGCCTACAGTGGGCAGTGCCCGTGTCACAGTCGCACGGAAAAATTTGGCGTTCCCGATCTACGGTATTCCTTTAAGGGGTGGGGGGAATAGGTGAGTGGATGTGGCATGTCCAGTTAGATTAGTGGAGTAATTCACCTATATCGTCCAAGTTCAAGTTCTGAAAATAACGTTTGATCGTCAATCTGACATGTGCTCTCGTACATACGTAGCAGTTATCGGTATAGTTGCGTATTTCGACAGGGAGGTTGTTGTATAGCTTGAAGAAGTTCGGAATCGGCATTTTCCTATGGCTTGCTTTGGTTCGGGTCGTCAGAGCCAGGGATCCCGCTGATTTGAAGCGAGTTCGATGATCATGTTCGGGTTTCGGGAGGGTCAGACCTGGGGAAATGAGGGAGTGGACTAAGCTGAAGGCGTAGAGTTTTTTGAATTCGAGGATGTTGAGCTTCGTGAATAGGGGGCGGAGTGAGCATCGTATGCTTCTTCGAGGATAATTCTCACGGCTTTCTTTGGAGTTTGAGAATTTTTGACGATAGTTATCCAGTAGTACAGCCGTATATTTGAATCATATATCTGATGTGCGCGTCTACCGGAGCGAAGAAAATTGATTCTTTTAGCGAGGTTGCGGTGACGTATTTCATTCTCGCAAGGACCACTATCCCAGAATACTGCATCGGCACGTGCGTTGAACTTCAGGTCCCGGTCCACGAGGAGTCCCAGGAATTCATGGGAAGTCACCATCTCGATGGTCCCGCACGTACAGGAATCGGCGTCGGGGCAGTTGGGGTTGTGAATACGTATCTCGAAGTCCTGTATGGTCTTCCCAAACTGGATGTATTTAGTTTTTGCGGCGTTGAGCTTCAAACCGTTCTGGTTCATCCAGCCATTAATCCTTGTTATCGCTTTGGAGCTCTGATGATTGAGGGCACGCGGGTCAGGGTTTGATAGAACTAGGGTCGTATCGTCCGCAAACGACAGCACTGTAACCTCCGTCTCCTCCGGGAGCATATCATTAATGAACCGGGAAAACGGGATTGGGGAGAGTCCACTGCCCTGTGGGACCCCCTGTTCGACGAGATGCGGGCGACTTCGAGTATCTTTGTATCTGAAGATCTGTATCCTTCCCTGGAGATAGGAGCGTAGTAGTTCCAGGGTTTAGCCGCGAAATCCCAGCCTGTCCATCTTCGCGAGAAGTCTGTGATGGTTGACAGAGTCGAACGCCTTACTGATGTCGCAGAAAATTGCTACAGTGTAGTGACCTCTGTCCGACGCTCCAGCGATCAGTTCCACTAGCTTGAACGCTGCTCCCTCACAGTTTCTGCCTGTCCTGAATCCGAATTGATTTGGGCTCAGTACTTCTTCGTCTTCCGCGAGTTGTGTGATTTGCCGGGTGATGATTTTTTCGATTAGTCAACTCACAGTCGGAAGCAGAGAGATTGGTCTGAAACTGAAGATGTTTGCAGAGGATCCTCCTTTATGGATAGGGTGGAGAAGCGAGATCTTCAGGCTGGTAGGATACGAATTCGAAGAAGAGATAGAGATGATGATAGAGAAGATAGAGATGATGAGATCGCGGAGCGGCTTGACCAAAAGGTATCTGCAGCGTTTGAGGAACATGCCGGTGATGCTGTCGATTCCTGGGGCTTTGGACGAGTCGAGTTCCTCCAACATTTCAACCAATCCACTCTCCGGGGGGACGATGAGGCCTGGGAAGACATTCGACCGCTGCCGAGGCAAGCCTACGAGTGAGCCCTCCTTGGGGTGCTCCACTGGAGTTCCGGGGACTCTCCCCAGTGTTGCGAAATAATGGTTTATGCCATCCAGAGTCTCGTTCACCGATTCTAGCCTGATCGTAGTCGAGGTCGGGTTTCCCCCGAAGTATTGGTTTACTATCTACCATGTTGCGGCCGGGGATCCCTCCGTTTTCTTGATCCTTGTCCTGAAGAACTCCTCCTTCGCGCCCCTTATAAGCTGACTTGTGCGTCGGTGGCTTGATTCGTACAGGATTCTCGCCTCCATCGTCCCACGCTGTCGGTATTGGCGGTACAAGTTGGATCTTTTCCTCAGGGCTCTGACCAAACCCTGGTTCATCCATTCCTTCATGGGTTGAAATCTCGTTTTTATTGTCGATGAGGTGGTGTTCGCTTTAGAGGCAGATAAGCATGTATCCACAAATAACTGTGACTTACTGTCCGCGCTCCTCTCACGATATATGGGCGCTCGAGTCTCGTTTGCCAAAGAGTCCTCGACACCTTCATAGTCTGTTATCTTCACAGTTTTCCGAGGAGGACTCGTACACTCCTGTTCCAGAATCAGTTCCGTTAGCTTGTGGTCAGGCATGCCTTGGGAGTCAATGATGGATATGCTCTTAATTACTAGTTTGCTGACTCTCGCTAGGGTATGGTCTATCAGAGTATTACAAGAGTCCGTCACCCTGGTCGGGGTCGATCCGTCGTGGGATTGGAAGCCGTGACAACTGATTGACTGAAGATACCGATTGGTCTGATCCGTCTCGGAGAGTAGACAAATGTTGATGTCTCCCATATGCAAGCTCTCCGGGAATTCGCTGAGTTTTTTCAGGAGTGAGCTGAGGTACTCATGAATGAAGGTCTCCACGTTAGAAATACCCGGGCTGGGTGAGCGATATACCGCACCAGCTCGCACTCTAAGTTTCCCGGCAATCAATTCCACCATGACTGAGTCACATGCTTTGGTCTTGATATCGATCTCAGTAGCTCCCATGGATTCCTTCACGAGGATCGCCACTCCCCCTTATCTGTAAGAATCATTTGAGGTGAAAAGGTCCTGAACCCCCTCGGCGCAAGAAGATGTTCGTTATAGGTGTGCAGCCAGGTCTCCGAGAGAATAATTACATTAGTTTCCGGTTTGAGTAATGAGGCCGCAAATAGGTCGCTTTGGCGCTTCGAATATTTATGGCTTGGATGTATATCTGATCAACATTATTACCGTTACCTTCCCCCCCGGGAAGTTTATCTAAGCTTATCACACACACGACGAACATGCACATCAATGGACTTATGCTCGGTCTTCCGGGTCGGCGTTGAGAGGTGTGGGGAACGTCCCATGCCTGACATACTGGGTGGTGATCTCACGACCGGGAGGCATTGAGTGGACGATTGGGCTGTCCGGTCTTTTTTCATGCATAGTTTCCCGGCTGGGCTCACCCAGCAGAACTCGTATTTTAGGGCCATTTTCTTCTGCATCGCCAGCGTGCGGAGACGTTTCACTTCCTTCGAGATCTTCCTGGATACATATATTGGAACTTGAGCTGCTTTCGGGCTGATCATTTTAGCGTGAAGACCATTCTTCGATTTCCGTAGCTTTGACACGCAATTCAGGAAATGGTCACATATGTCGGGACGCAGGAATTCAGATGTAATAGTCTGGGTATAGATTTTGTTGATATTTTTCACCGGGCCCACACCCCGGGCTGAGTAGATATAGTCCTCCTTCATCTCGAGTCCCGCTGCGTGCGCGATTCGGATGATGATGATGTCCTTCTCAGTTAGCTTTGGTTCTGTCGGAAACCCGGATATCTTAACGTGGTTCCTCATTGTTGGAAAGTGAGCGTTCGGAAGTGTTGCGATCTGAGTCACAGCTCGAGAGCCAAGCCGAGTAATAGTTTAGATAACGAGGTTCAACTTAGATTGGCTGATCTACACAGGAGATCATGGTATTGTCGTGCGTGGATTGATTATCACGCTAGAGGGCGCCAGAGTCGAGCGTTAGAGAGACGATCGGCGGCCGATCGCGCAAGAAGTTAGTGACGGCGGCATCAATGACGTCAGAACTTGAAGTAGAGAGAGATTCATTCGAGCGCAAGCGTTCGTGAAGGGTAGTTGTAGGTGTGTGCAAGAGTGACTAGCAGACTAAGTTCAATAAACTCTATTCAACACCAGTTCGTGACATCTGTGTTACCCACGTAGAGACTAAACGACATTACAGCAGCGGTGGGGTACGCACGGAACTCGTGAGCAGTGTTGAAAGAAAAGTGATTGATGTCGCAGACACCTTCAGTGTATGCGCTAGTTACAGAGGAGGCCGCCAGGCGGCGTTCCGTCGACCCTACTGTCAATAGTCAATGACGTCAGCCGCACAGTCGGTCTCCATAATTTAGAGTAGTTCGGTAATCCGAAAGTGATACCTCTGTAAGCCCTTGAGGCAATCATTCATACAATCGATCATGAAATATAATAAAGAGAATGGGCTTGGGTCACATGGAGCTGGCAATGCGTCGCGCGTCGGTCGGCGCGTCTCTCCCGCAAACATCGTGTGCACGTCGAGACGTGCCGATTGGGGCGCGTGACCTCACTCATCCGAGAGGCTACGCTGAGACAGGAACTAACCGTCCCCGGCTAACCGCACAAGCGAGCTCGAGGAGCAGACCAGGTCAATCTTGACAAAAGTTGCCCAGTGACTCAGTCCACAAACCAAGTGAAGGATGTTTTCATTGAAGTACGCAACACAATTTGGTGTCAGAGAAAACTTGATAAGTTCGGAACGCAAGGCGACTCGTGGTGCTACGCATCACTACGAAGATGGCGCTCAAGCTCAGAGAGGGCGCGGACTCAGCAGCATTCGAAGCAGCTCAGGCTGAGAGGAAAAGTGTCCGTCGGCAAGTTACGAAAAAAGCCGCAGCGATCGACACGGTGTACAAATCCGCCGTACCGGTAGACGCCATCCGGCTCGAAGCCGAGGAGAGCGTTATCAGACAGCTTAGGCTTAAACTAGAGTCGCTCAATAAGCAACTCACAGCCATGCTGGCAGTCCCTTCAGACGATTCCGAAGAAAAAAACACGACGAGTATGCAGATCGCATGATGGAATACGAGGAAAAGATCTTCGAAGCTTTAGCAAAGATCGAATTCCTCAGGCAGCAATATAGCCAACCTAACACGGCATCGACGGCTCCCACCAATGCAGCCGTTACGACGATCAAAGACGTCATCGTGAAACAACAGGACAAGATTCCGAAGTTCTCAGGCGACGCAAGAAAGTTCCAGGAATGGTTCGAGCTGTTCGAGTCAGCAGTGTCCACGTGCACTTCTTCATTGGAAAAATTCAAAAGACTAAAATCATCTCTGGTCGGCAATGCCTTGAAACAGATATCTCACCTTCACCTCAAGGAGGAATTCTATCAGACGGCGATTGACATCATCAGGGATGAATACGGAAGCGTCTTTTCGGCTCAATACGCATACGCGGCAGATATCATCATCAATTGCAACTCTAGGAGCTTCAGGAATCCAGATAAGTGGCATGCTTTTGATTCCGTCGGTCTCGCAGAATATAAGAGCTCTCAGGACGCTGATAGAGAATTTCGAAGGTGCGGCGGTCATGATTTTGCCAATCATTCTCGACAACCTACCGGGCTCGGTCAAGGACCAATTCCTCAGAATCCATGAAGTTTCTAAGTCAGATGAAGCAAACAAGCAACTAGAGGCATTGATCAAATTTCTGGGGAAGGAAAACAAGATCAAATCGACCCCATCGGCGAGTAGATTTAGCCCTAGTTCGGAGCGTCCCAAGTTCCGCGGCGGAGCCACAGCGAAGGCTGAAGGGTTTCCGAACAGCTCGCAGAAATCCAGAGATAATCATTCATTCTACGGGAATCAAGAGCCCGAGGGAAATCACTCTTGCATATTCTGTGGTCTTAAGAACCATACAACGTTCAAATGCAAGAAGGTCCTCTCCGGCGAGGAGAGATTAGACCTCGTGCAGCGAGCCGGCGCATGCGCGAAGTGTTTGAGACGAAATCATGTAGCTGCGAAATGTCGTCTGCAAACGAAATGCAAACACTGCAAAGGCAGTCACAATTCATTGCTCTGCGGAAAGTCCGACGCGAGGGTCACGTCCACCCTGATGAGCGCGACGGGGACGGGAGGCTCAGAAAACCTGCACCTTAGGGATCAGGCTAATATCGCAAGTCGAATTCAGGGCCAGGCTAACCTCGCCACTGGATATGCCTATGTTTCAGTAGGTGCTGGCGCCGAGCTCCGTAGAATACTATTAGACATCGGATCTCAGAAATCGTATATAACAACGAAGCTAGCCAAAGCGCTGGGAGCAAAACCGATGGATCGAGAATACCTCATCAACCACACCCTAGGGGGCCAGGTTTCCGAGGTCCAGGAATATAGGAGCTACGAAATCAAACTCGGTAGCAAATCCAATCCGGAATTCTCAGTCTCGGTAGAATGCCTTGGCATCCCCGTTATCACGAGAACCATTTTCCCCCCGGTGGAGAAATTGGAATACAAGCTAGACTACGCGGATCAAGTAGATAGCCCGAAACATAAAAACATAGACATCCTCATCGGCACGGATCAAATCGGCCGAATTTGGCTAAATGAATCCAAGTCCGAGGGACTACTCATCGCGTTGAATACACGCCTCGGTTGGTTTGTCTTCGGTCGGAAAGAACCGCCGTGTAGAATCACAACCACGCTGAGCGCGTTTCAGGAGCAGTCATCGGAAAGCTCCGACAAACAGTTGAGCGAATCAGCTCTGGCAGCTTCACAAGATGTCAACTTGACGCGGGACATCGAATTTATGTTCCAATCGGAACTTCTCGGCATTGAGCCGCCAAGTGACAACGAGGTCGCCCTTGAAAATGAGAAGTACGGTGAGATTTTCGAGAGAGGGATCAGGAGGTTACCATCAGGAAGATATTCACTCAAACTCCCATTCAATGATAGAATTCATACGTTGGGCGACAACGAGAAGTTGTCTCGAATCCGCCTCAGAAACCTGATCTCGAAAAGCAACCCCGAGGTTCTCAGAGCGGCAGACATAGAGATGCAAGCTTACGTAGCTAATGGTTATGCCGAAGAGGCTCCTCCAAGAAGGAAGGGAGAATTCGCACATTACCTCCCGATTCAGATCGTTAAGAAAGCGGCTCCAGAGAACCCCCTGGGTTTCAAGGTTAGATTGGTGAAGGACGCTGGAGCAAGATCCGCAGATTTGGCATCGCTCAACGACGTATTGATAGCCGGGCCAAACTTACTACCGAACATTCTCGGAGTGCTCGCGAGATTCAGAAATCCGCCTATCGTGATAATTTCAGATATAGAAAAGGCCTTCCACCAATTCGAGATCGACAGATCGCATCGGACATTTCTGAGATTTTTTTGGAGACCCGGTATAGCTGATAACCCGAATGCGCCCATCAAGGAGTTCTGGTCGAGGCGACTCGATTTCGGTTTGGTCTCCTCGCCCTGGCTTCACCAGGCAGGAGTGAAACACCACCTTGAGATCATGAGGAAGAAACGACCCGGCGAGGCTGAGCTCATTGCCGAAATTCTGGCGTCAGCCTATATGGATGATCTTCAGATCGGCGGCATGAATCTGGTTGAGGCGCGGAAGAAAGCGAAGCGCTGCGAAGAGTTGTTCGCAGCGG